AGTTCAGGGAACGAACACTGGGAGAGAATACAAAATTCAACAAGAAGAAACAGTTTGGCAACTCAGAATAACAAAAAGGGGGAAAAAAGCCATTATAAGCATGGAGACTTGCATAAGAAAGGTTAAGAGAGAAACTCATGTGGGAAAGCCACTGAAAGATTAAGCAAGGGCGTGGATATGATTCACATATATACTTTTAGAATACCAGTCCGGCTGCCGTATAGCAGTTGATTCGAGAAGGCAAGGAGAGACATTTCTGTAGTCCAGACAGAGTTAATGATTGCTTAAGCTAGAATGGCGGCGGTAGAAGGAAATGGACAGAGTTTATTTACCTGAGATATAGAAATTATGAATGATAAATTGCATGACAGATAGGAGTAGGAAGGATGACAGGTTTTGGTTGAGCTATTTCCATGAAGTGATACTTCAAAGAAGTATCACTTACTAGTGATGGGGAACACCAGAAGAAAAGCAAATTCAAGGAAAAAGATCAAGAGTGCAGTTAAGTGTAAATGCCTGTGACCCATTCTAATAGGAGGTCACGTAGGCAGCTGTAATATATAAATCCAAAAAAAGTCTGGTCTGGACATAAATTTTGGAATCACCAACAAAATCATTTAATAATCTATTCAAATGGTCTCGTATTTTTTATGTTTTTGAAGTTTACATGTCCTTCCCTAGTAAATGTTACCAACAAGGACACTTGGCTAACAGAGGTTTTTTTTTTTTTAACTTTCTGGATATGCATACCTTGTTCTGTTTCCACTGTACTTACTGAAGTGTGGACTCCAAGTATATGATATGGATTTTTTACAGTATGTTCTCTTCCCCCTTTGCTTGAGTCCAACTATTATGGGCCTCTTCTACTGCCTGCTTCTAGTAGTAAAGGAGAAAAGAAATAGGAAACCATGCAGTAGGCCAAACATATATATAAGTAACTGTTTTAAGGATAAACAGAGTTTTCAGCCCTTGTGTAAATTAATTGGAAAATACATCTAAGTCCTTATTTCAGTTTTAAGGATTAAAATATATGAACTGTTAATGTTTGAGTGTTTCCATTTTATTCTGAAGTCATGTTTGGTTCTTAAGAACATATTATTGACTGGCCTTTTTTTCTCATGGCTTATAAATACTTTGAATTTCTTGTGTTTACTGTAGGTTCATCGGGATTAGGCAGCCCTCTTGGCCGAAGTCGACATAGTAGTAGTCAGTCAGATTTGACCACTTCCAGCAGTAGTTCATCTGGCCTGAGCTTCACTGCATGCATGTCTGACTTTTCCCTTTATGTATTTCATCCATATGGAGCAGGGAAACAAAAAACTGCTGTTTCTGGCCTTACAGCTGGATCAGGAGGATTAGGTATACTTTGCATGTTTACATCGTTTTCAGATCTGTAGCACCTTTTCAAGCTTTCTTTTCATAAATCATAAGGGATATAGACAAGATCAGATGCTTTTTATATTTTTCCTCTTTGATAATACCTATCTCATCTTTACATAATATGTAGACATATACAATAATTATACAAGAATTTTAATATTCAGAATATTTTCTAAGCAATATACATAGCACAGTAATCTCTGATATTCAGATTACTGAATATCAGTAATCTGAATATCAGAGATTACTATTGAAATGTTTAAATGTCTTAGCAAATCACTGTCCATTTGTATAAGAAACTGTATAAAAAGTAAAATTTTAAATTGAATGGGTCATATTTGTTAATTTAAAAAGAGACTATAATTTAAGTCAGTCATTTAGTGAAAATAAATTTCATTGGCACTTTGAAGTGAGACAAACCACTAAAATGCATAAGAGCTTATTATTAGTAACTATCTCTTGACTTGTATTTAAACAAATGATGAAAATATATATTCCATGTCAATTCTAGTTTCTATTGTTGGAGAAGGGTTGTAAAAATCACCAATTATGTTTATGGGTTTGAACCTCTAAAATTGTTAGGAATGCTAATACTCATGAGATCATTCTCCTTAAGTTTATACCTCAAGTGATTTTAATTCATGCCATATTACGTGTGTTAGATAATTTTCACCTAACTAGACAGCTGTGTGCATTCATGTATATATAAATGTGGGGATTTGTGTTTGTTTGTTTGTTTTAAAGGGAACGTGGATGAGGAGCCCACTTCAGTCACTGGTCGAAAAGATTCACTCAGTATAAACCTTGAGTTTGTAAAAGTGAGTTTGTCACGGATCAGGCGTTCAGGAGGTGCCTCATTTTTTGAAAATCAGTCTGTAAGCAAGTCTGCAAGCAAAATGGACACTACTTTAATAAATATATCTGGTACTCAATTTTATAGTTTTTAAATTAAAATATTGTTTTCCAAAATTAAATAATGGCCTCTGTTTTAATAGTGTTTAAATATTAAGTCAATTAATGTTATGCTTTTCAGTGATAAGTTGGATTTAAAGGAGAGGAATGCCCAGCCTACGGTACTGTCTCAGTCCACGTAATTAATGTTAGGGATATGAGTTCTAGGTAAATAGACCTATCACTCAAGGACCAAATATACCTAATTAAATCAATAAAAGTTACTTCTTTTCTTCAATTCTTCTCCACGAATTGTTATCGTTTTGGTTTTCATAATTGTAAGTGCTTAAAACACTAAAATGGGATGAATGATGTTTAAAAATGTTTACTTGATGTCAGAAAACCTTGAATTGTTTGCATGTATATTGCTGGTTTTAAAAATAGTTGTATAACTATGGGCAAATCACTCATTTACTTTACGTTGTGATTTGAATATTTAAAATTAAATGCAAATAGAACGTTTTGAAGAATTCAGAATACTGAGTAGTAAAAACTTTCATAATTATGAATCAAATAAATACGGTATGTTCACTTAACCCAGTATTCTGCACATATATCTTAAGCCTACGTTTTAGAGTACACTTTTGCCAGAGATTGCTGGGTGATTGAGTGGAGCAGGCATGAATTCGACAAGGTCTTATGTGTAGACAAATAAATAAGTCCAGGATAATAAATGCTATAATGGAGCTTTATATAAAGAGGAAGAAACAATAAATTCTGTCTTGTATGAGAAATCAGAAAAGGCTAGACATAGGAAATGTTATTCGGTGAAGATTTTGAAAAATGAGTAGGAATATTCTTGGAGGTAGCAGCATGGTATTCAGTGGCACAGAGCATCAAAATGTATGCTTCTGGATCATAGTTTGATTTGCTCTGGCTGAAGCATAGGGTATAAGTGAACATTTAATTGGTTGTACAAAGTGGATGGAGATAGAAATAGGCTAGAGGTAATATGTTGATAAAACAGGACGCGATTATGGAGGGACTCATATCATATGCTGAAGAATCGGGTTCTGATCTTTTAGGCAGTGAGAAGCCATTAGAGGTTAAGAAACAGGGTGATGCTTCAGAAATATGTTTTAGAAAGAGAGCTGATGGTAGCATGAAAGATAGGAAAGAAAGATGCTTGAGGAGACTGTTGAAACAGACCGTGCAGTAGTAGATGAGAGCCTAAACTGGCAGTAAAAAGAGAAAAGGGAATGAGGAGTGGGTTTAAGAGAGATATAAGAGAATCCACAAGCTTGAGTAAAAGTTACAACTTAGGGGCAGCAGAGGAGACAAGAATGTCTCAAACTTTTAGCTTAGATAACTGAAGGAGCAGTGATGCCATTAACTTAGAAAATAAGGAAATGTCTATAGGACATTTAGGTAGAAGGTTCTGGTAGACAGTTGACTTAGGGACTATGGCTATGTAGGTATGGGCACAGACAAAAACAGAAATTTTAGCTTTGGAAGATACTGGCTTATAAACCCTATAGAAACTATGGTAGAAGAATAGAAGAGCATGTACAACAGTAGCAGAAGAATGCTCCAGAGCAGAACTCTGGAAAAAGGCCATCAGAATGTTTTTTGTCTAAAGTCACTGCTATTTGTCTGATAAGAAAATAGTACTCTCTGCCCCACAGCTATTTGGTTTACACTTCCTTTTGAGAAAATTTGTATACCAGCTCATCCTGATGATTGATTTTCCATAATAGAGAAGATTGCTGTGTTAAAATTGAAAGCTGGCTATCAGACTAATCTTTAGAACTTATCTGAGGATTTCATGATAAAGTGGTAACAGAATTCCAACTTGCCATCCCCGCAAAGAAGGAAAATTGTACTAACAGTGTTAGAATGTGCTGTTTTTGTAATGTGTGGAAGAACGTATCACTGACTAATCATAATATGTAACTTAAATATAATTCAGCTGTATAATAACCCTGTCTTATACCTATCATGTGAAAACATTAAGGGTTTTAGAAATCTGTACTAACAAATGTTATTTATATATCAGCTGTTTGCGATATAGGGTCTGCCTCCTTTAAATATGATATGCGCCGACTCAGTGAAATTCTGGCATTTCCAAGAGCATGGTATAGGAGAAGTATTGCAAGACGTCTATTCCTCGGAGACCAAACTATAAATTTGCCAAGTAAGCTTGTTATATAATTTTAATTTTGGTTACAGTAGCAGCAAGACCTACAATTGATAACACAAACTTGATCTTACTTGGTAGGGTATACCATGTGATACATTCAGTCATTCCAGAATGTCCACGGGGCACCTCTAATATGCCAAACACAAGGGGGATATACATTAGCACTCAGGATATATCAGAGAACCAAAGAGACAAAAAGTCTTACCTTCTTTGAGATTACATTCCAGCTGACTTTTTATTCTGTAACTGTACTAACAAATTAACAAACTTGTAAATTAGTAACATTGTTAGTACATTTATTTTCTAATGATTACTCTGTAATCCTTTTAAATATCCAAGTTAATCATGGTTAGTTAAGCATGGGAAACAGAAGAGGTTGGGAACATGTTACTATCTTGCCTGCATTTGTCTGCTGGATTTAGGTATTGTTGTAGGTAACGAAATCAAGAGATTTTTGGAAGTTAAAAGTAAGGTCAGGTACATACAGAGGCAAATATGAGAAACTCTAGGTCTGAGTGTATTTTCTTACCTGTAAACTGGGACCAGAGCTCCTGTTTTGCATTTTTCATGGAGTTTAAACAAAATACTGGAATGTTCTTTGCAAACTGTAAATTGCTGTACAGCTGCTAAATAGAGAACTAGAAGGAATACATAATGTGATTAGAAATCAATGGGTGAAATTATTTTATAACATAGGGATTTTACCCTATTAATTTGTATTTTTTGTTTTGTTTCTTTTCTTCTAGCATCTGGCCCAGGGACACCTGACTCCATTGAAGGGGTAAGCCAACACCTTTCCCCTGAATCATCAAGAAAAGCTTACTGCAAGACATGGGAGCAGCCAAGTCAGTCAGCCTCTTTCACACACATGCCTCAGTCACCTAATGTGTTCAATGAGCATATGACAAACAGCACCATGTCACCAGGGACAGTAGGACAGAGCCTAAAATCCCCAGCTTCCATAAGATCAAGGAGTGTATCTGATTCTTCAGTTCCTCGAAGAGGTAATACTGCTCTTTTTGTTATCAGTAGCCCTCCAGAGTTCTCAAGATAAAATTTTAGTTACTCTCAGATTTCAGCCCTAAGTATAGGAAACTCTACTCTTGAAGTTTTATGATACGTATAAAAAAAAAAAATCCCCCAAAACAACAAAACAAACATTTCAAAGTATTGCCAACAAGACACCTAGATGGCCAGTAGCTTTATAAGCAGATAAGGGGAGAGGAATTAGTATATTGTTAGTGTGTTCCATATGGCCTTGGCCTTGTACTTGTGCCTGATTATATAAAAGCGATGTAGTTATTATCAAAAGATTAAAATATAATGAGCAAATGCAAGATGCAAGAAACATATTAAGTCCGTAAGAACATAAAAGACAGGCACCCCAACTGGCGTCTGCATTTCAGAACTGTTTCTGCCTTTGGGTCCTCTATGTGGCAACAGTACCTTATAATTTTCTTCTTACTTAAGCAAAATCCTGCCGGGCGTAGTGACGTGTGCCTGTAGCCCCAGCTACTCAGGGGGCTGAGGTGGTTTGTAGTGTGCTATGCTGATTGGGTGTCCACACTAAGTTCAGCATCAACATGGTGACCTCCCGGGAGCGGGGGACCACCAGGTTGCCTAAGGAGGGGTGAACTGGCCCAGGTTGGAAATGGAGCAAGTCAAAACTCCCGTACTGATCAGTAGTGTGACTGCACCTGTGAATAGCCACTGCACTCCAGCCTGAGCAACACAGCCAGACCGCATGTCTTAAAAAAAAAAATCCTTGAGTGATACATGATCTGTGCTGCTGTATCCCTTGCACACAAGAATTTCCTTATATAAAAGAGGGGCCATACATCATTTTATGAGCTTTCAAGAGGTAAGGCTGCCAGCACTTACTAAACATCTAGTAAATGGTAACTATTATTTTAGAGGCAGTATTAACTATTAAACAACAGATTCTAATACAAGAATATATTTTACTTTTTGGATTATAGTGATAAGATTAGTTTTTGCTTTGTAACTAGCTTGGTATTTATGTAAATTAACATGTATTTGATTTTTCTGTTTTTAGATTCACTTTCAAAAACATCAACTCCTTTTAACAAATCAAACAAAGCAGCAAGCCAACAAGGGACCCCATGGGAAACACTAGTTGTGTTTGCTATCAACTTGAAGCAATTAAATGTTCAAATGAATATGAGTAATGTAATGGGAAATACAACGTAAGCTATTCAGATACAAAGGAAATGTTTTTAATCATTTTTGAAATTTTTCTTCTATTGTAAAGATATTCAGAACCTTTTTTGAATGCTGAAATATTTGAAAAAGATAGTTTATTAAAGATATGTTTTGTCTTGAAAATGGCTTAATTCTAAGGATACTGCAATATAAAATAGCATGAAATATACATTCTATAAAAAGGGAATCAATTATAAGGAGAACAGGCTAATTTTCTAGCCAGGAGTAAAGTTTCATTATCAATGTTAATATTCAAGTATTTACCACATAGTTTTTATAAAAAGTATGTTGTTTCACTGTCAAACTTGACCTTTTAAATAATCTGATTTAACTCCTTTTGAATTTAAATCCTGTTTTAATTCATGACACTGGAAGCTGTATATCTAACTAATAACTTTTTTTCCTTTAGTTGGACAACTAGTGGTTTGAAGAGCCAGGGCCGTCTGTCAGTAGGAAGTAATCGTGATCGAGAAATTAGCATGTCTGTTGGTCTGGGAAGATCACAATTAGATTCTAAAGGAGGAGTAGTTGGAGGGACCATAGATGTCAATGCTTTGGAGATGGTTGGTATGTTGAAATTTTACAACTGATCTAACATATCTTTAAAATATATATATTTACTTTTATAAATTGATTCTGATGATTTTCCCATGGACATTTCTGTGAAAATTAATTATTGTTTCTGTTTTAGCACATATTTCTGAACACCCAAATCAGCAACCCAGTCACAAAATTCAGATTACTATGGGTTCTACTGAAGCTCGTGTTGATTACATGGGCTCAAGTATCCTCATGGGCATCTTCAGTAATGCTGATCTTAAGCTTCAGGATGAATGGAAAGTAAACTTGTATAATACATTGGAATCAAGCATAACTGATAAAAGGTATTTATTAAGGATTACTTTTGGACACTTTACATGACTGTTGTCAACATGTTTTCTACCATCTAGTGAGAAAACAAATTTTTCCTACAAAATTATTATTTATTATGCAATTAATACAAATTAAAAAGCTAGAGGGAAGAAAATGTTTCTTGTACTTTTTGAGTATCTTCTGTAAGACATATGACAAAGATTCTGTTTATATTCTAGTGAGATTTTCGTCCATGGAGATTTGAAGTGGGATATTTTCCAAGTAATGATATCAAGATCAACCACACCAGATCTGATAAAAATAGGAATGAAACTCCAGGAATTTTTCACACAACAATTTGATACCAGCAAACGAGCTCTGTCTACTTGGGGACCAGTTCCTTATCTTCCACCAAAGACAATGACTAGCAACCTAGAAAAAAGTTCACAAGAACAATGTAAGAATTAGAATTAAGCTTTTCTATATGCTGTATCTTTCACTAAATATGTTACATTCTTAATTAAAAATAATAATCTGTATGTCCCTTCTTACAAAATAGGCCACAGGCTTTTTTTTTTTTGTTTTTTTGAGACAGAGTGTCACTGTGTCGCCAGGCACCAGGCTGGAGTGCAGTGGTGAAATCTCGGCTCACTGCAGCCTCTGCCTCCCAGGTTCAAGCAGTTCTCCTGCCTCAGCCTCCTGAGTAGCTGGGACTACAGACACGCACCACCACGCCCAGCTGATTTTTGTATTTTTTGGTAGTGATGGGGTTTCAACATGGTCTTGATCTCTTGACCTGGTTATCCACTCATCGCGGCCTCCTAGAGTGCTGGGATTATAGGCATGAGCCACTGTGCCTGGCCGCCCACAGGCTCTTTATCCCACTCAATTAGCAAAGGATCAGATTTTCTACCTGCCAGTGGAATTAGAGGTCATCATTTAGGAAGTTATCATTTATTATCCCTTCCCCCTGCTGCAGTGCATCTGCATCCATACCCACTCCATGCTCTTGAATACTGTTTATGATAATATCATGTTTTGGTTTAGAATGTCTGTGGAGTCAGAATATCCAAATTTGGATTTATTAGGCAAGTGATAGTAAGATCATCTTTATTTTTACTTAGTAATTCAATTGGCAAATATTTATTAAGCTACAACCATGTACTTAAGCACTATTCTAGACACAGGAAATCCAGTGATGGACAGAATTACTACCCTCTTGAAGCTTAAACTATAATGGGAGAGAAAGACCATAATAAATTTACTAACTAAATATATACGATAATTTCAGTAAGAGAAAAGTGCTAAGCAAAAGAACAAAAACAGAGGAAGAATATAGAGAATGATTAAATCTAAGGATAGCTATTTTAGAAAGGGTGATCATTTAGGCCTTTTCTGAAGTGACATTTTAGTGGAAACATGAATCAGAATAAGGCTAAGATGTGGGAGAAGAGAGTTCCAGGCATAGGTGGATATTGAGTCCAAAGTTCCCATAGTAGGAACAAACTTGGCTTAAGAATCATTAAGGTTGCCTGTGGCTGAAACAGACATGAGCAAGGACGAAAATGTTGAACATGAATTCACAGAGGTACACCACAGATAAGATTTTTAATATGATGGTTAGCTATCAGAGAGTTTTAAACAGTTTTGATATCTGATTTATCTTTTTTAAAAATACTCCCTTTTTGAACAATGAGAACACATGGACACAGGGAGAGGAACATCACACACTGGGGCCTATAAGGGGAAGGAATAGCATTAGGAGAAATACCTAATGTAGATGACGGGTGCAGCAAACCACCATGGCACATGTATACCTGTGTAACAAACCTGCATGTTCTGCACCTGTACCCTAGAACTTAAAGTATAATTAAAAAAAAAAAACTCCCTTTTAAAGCTCATTCTGGCTACTATGTGAAGAACAGACTATAAGTAGTTAAGAATGGAAGGAAACAATTGCAATAGTTACCATTACCATTGTTACGTACATAGTTACATCATTATTGTAAGGAAGCCATTGCAACACTCCAGACAAGAAATGGTGGCTTTCACTAGGATGATAGAGGTGTAAGTAGTGAGAAGCAGTCAGAATGAGGATAGCTTTTTAATAACTCTATTATCACAGAAGTAATGCATGTACATTGAAAAAAAAAACAGAAAACACAATAGAAGCAAAAAATTATCACATTCCACTCAGAAATCACTGTAAACACCTTAAAGCATATACTTCCAGATATTTTTCTATGTATCTGTATATATGTGTATATTTTATGAAAATATCCAAACTCATACCATTTTGTATGTCATCTTCAACTTTGCATTTTGCTAATTACTTATCTCCTTTAGCTTTCAAAACACATTCAGATTTCTATGATTGATCTAAAAATGTCCTGTATAATGGGTTTATCCAAAGCAGTTTATCCAATCCAAGATCACAGGTTAAATATGGTTACATTCCTTTACCTTCTTTTAATTTAGCATAGTTCATTTTTTATATGAACTGACTTGTTGAGGAGATGTAGCCAACTGTCCTAAGGAATGCCCTACCTTCTAGATCTTTTTCAGTTACTTCCTTGTGGTATCCTTTATCTTTTTCCTCTAGTCCACGTATTTCCTTAAAACTAGAATTTATATTAGGCATATACAAATTGAACGATGTTCTGCAAAATGCCTGGCCTGGATTCTTAAAAAAAAACTCCTTGTCACAAAAAACAAACATAAAGGCTTAGAGAATTTTTTTAAGGAAAACATGCCAGCCGAATACAATTCATGATCTTTGTTTTGGATCATGGTTGAGAGGTATGAAAAACAGACAAAAGGAACGTTACTGGAATAAATGGAAAATATACCTTGCATGTTTGATTAGTGCTTCTCAAACTTTAACATGTATCAGAAAAACCTGGAGATGTTATTAAAATACAGATTTTGATTTAGTAGGTACAGTTAGACTTAAGAGTCTGCATTTCTAACAAGCTCCCAGGTGATGCTAATTCTGCTGGCCCTCTGACCTCACTTTGAGTAGCAAAGAAATAGAAGAGTTAAAAAGCAGTACTCAAACTAAGGAGATCTGTATTTGATTTCTAGGTTTTCCAGTTACTGGTTCACTTAACCTCTTTGTTCTGCTTCTTCACTTGAAATCAGTTAAGATGATTTATGTAGTTTATAGTTATTATGAGAATTACACAAAATATTTTGCAAGTACGTTTAACTCATTAACAATTACAGATATATTAGGAGGTTTTGAGAGGGGTGTTTGTGTTTGTTTTAGACAGGTTCTCACTCTATCACCCAGGCTAGAGTCCAATGGCACGATCTCAGCTCACTGCAACCACCGCCTCCTGGGTTCAAGCAATTCTCCTGCCTCAGCCTCCCAAATAGCTGGTACTACAGGCATGCACCACTGTGCCTGGCTAATTTTTATATTTTTAGTAGAGATGGGGATTCACAATGTAGACCAGGCTGGTCTCGAACTCGTGACCTCAAGTGATCCACCAGGGCTCGGCATTCAAAAGTGCTGGGATTACAGGTGTGAGTCACTGCATGCAGCCTCAGACATACTAGTTTTAATTATTATTAGCAAGTGACTACTTTCTTTATCCTCATGCAGCCTCTTTTCCTAGAATGTGTCTTTATTAGCAACTGCTAAATGTTAAACAGGCACTGGACACTGTTTTCATCCCTTTCCTGAGATTGTAGAAAGTTGCCACTTGCTGCCTTACTCCACCCTATTCAAGGGTACTCATTAGGCACTTATGGATACGTGTTTTTTTTGTTTTGTTTTCTTGCAGTGCTTGATGCAGCACATCATCGACACTGGCCTGGAGTACTGAAGGTGGTATCTGGATGCCACATATCCTTATTTCAGATTCCATTGCCAGAAGATGGAATGCAATTTGGAGGATCCATGAGTTTACATGGAAATCATATGACACTGGCATGTTTTCATGGTCCAAACTTCCGTTCAAAATCTTGGGCTCTTTTTCATTTAGAAGAACCAAATATTGCTTTTTGGACTGAAGCTCAGAAAATCTGGGAAGATGGTAAGCTGACACATTTCCAGCTTTTACTTTCTCCTTTCTGTTATGACTACAAATGACAATGATATTTCTGAAGTTAGTCTCTATTTGTTCTCATGTATCTGACATGTTAAGGAGTTCACTGCCAATGAGTCAATATTTATAATGTCTGGAACATGTTAATTTCTGAACTTGCCATCTTACTCTCTGTTTCTTGCTTAGGCAATTAAAGTTTCTGCTGCTGTGGCTAAACATAGTCATGGTAATAAATAGTTACTGTAATCTTTCTTATAAAAAAAAAGAAGTGAAGGCAACATAGTGGTAGTGTGAGGAAATTATTTGCCAGTCAAGACTATATTATCAAATATATAAGGCAAGGATGTGCTTTTACCTCTACAGTGATAAATCCATTTACTTTGAGCTTTACTCTTCTACTTGGTGGTTTCTAAATTATGAGGGAAAAAAATGTTTGATGCTCTTCATCTTACTAGGGACAGATCCAATTACCACTAATAGAAGAAATATTTGTTAATTATTTGGTTTTTGTCCTCCTAGCCTTCCTATATATGACAAATGAATATACTGCTCTGAGGCCACAATTATCATCTTGAATCTAAATATAGATTATTACTTCAAAAAAATTTTATTTTGTTGTAGGCTCCAGTGATCATTCTACATATATCGTACAAACACTGGATTTTCATCTGGGTCATAATACCATGGTTACAAAACCATGTGGTGCTTTGGAAAGTCCTATGGCAACGATAACCAAGATAACAAGGCGCCGCCATGAAAACCCACCCCATGGAGTAGCAAGTGTGAAAGAATGGTTCAATTATGTTACAGCCACAAGGAATGAAGGTAAAAATTTTGAGTCTTTGGAAAGATTTATTTTGTTATTTCCATTTTAGGTTCTGTTGACTGTGTTTAGAATTTAAGTAGGATGGTGTTTTCATTTCCTTAAACAATTTTCATTTTTAACCTTGCTGGTTGACACAAGTCATAACTATTTAATACCATCCTGGTAATGCAGCATCTCATGAACTCAAATCATTTTAGATGTAATTGAAAACATTCAAAATAAGTTTGTCTTTAAATAAAAAATTAAAGTTTATTATATTGAGAAATATTTTAGAAATTTTTGGGAAATGATCCTGGAAAAATATTTTGGTAGTAATGCTAAAAAATGGAGACTGGGCCGGGTGCGGTGGCTCATGCTTGTAATCCCAGCACTCTGGGAGGCTGAGGCAGGTGGATCATGAGGTCAAGAGATTGAGACCATCCTGACCATCATGGTGAAACATCGTCTCTACTAAAAATACAAAAATTAGCTGGGCATGGTGGCATGTGCCTGTGGTCCCAGCTACTCGGGAGGCTGAGGCAGAAGAATTGCTTGAACCCAGGAGGCAGAGGTTGCCATGAGCCGAAATTGTGCCACTGCACTCCAGCCTGGCGACAGAGCAAGACTCCATCTCAAAAAAAAAAAAAGGAGAGTTAAAAATTTCTTAAAACAAAGGAGAATAAAAGAGTGAATCAAAAGATTATATCCATATTGACTGTTTAACCTTTCAAATAGGGATTTTGGGGGAAGAGGGATTTTTATGGCTGGAGTTCTAAAGTGTCTATTAGTATAATGAACTGTTGTCTGAAGAAAAATACTAATTGTTATAATTCTAAGATCTATAAAAGATCTTTATAAAACTAAGATCTATATTTAATTATAGCATATATGTTGGGGAAAATGAGTACTTCTGACTGACTTCAAGATCAGGATCCTATTTAATTTCAAATTCTGTAAGAGTGAAGTCTTCCATCTATGGAGACCTTTGGGCTTAGTGAAATTCTAACTTCAGACATGAATTCAGCTGAGAATAATATTCATTTTAAAATCCCAGAAACCAAAACTAGAATGTATTAGGTTTATACAAATCACATTATAAAGCTTTGATCTTGACCACAGTGATATACAGATATCAATATAGATACACTACATACATATATATGTGATTTTTTTCCAATTTTTGAAATAACAGTTCTGTATATTATAGTTGTCTTGAAAGCTGTATAGGCTTGTCAATGCCTATTGTTTTAATAATTTCACTCTGACTTTATCATTATGCATGTAGAGCTAAATCTACTTCGTAATGTTGATGCTAACAACACTGAGAATAGCACTACTGTGAAGAATTCTAGTTTGTTGAGTGGATTCAGAGGAGGTTCTAGCTACAACCATGAAACAGAGACTATCTTTGCATTACCAAGGATGCAGCTTGACTTTAAATCCATTCATGTTCAAGAACCACAAGAACCTTCATTACAGGGTATGTAGAAAAACAATTTAAAGTTAATAAGAAAATTCTAAAGAAACTTAAAACTACTGCTGTCTTCCCATGGATTATTTTTGATAATTTCATTAATATCTAATGAAACTGATTTTCTAGGCAAACTTGATTTATTTTCTTACCAGCTATATGATCTCTGGAAAATTATCTGATCAACTTATACCTCTCTCTCCTCAGTAAAATGCAGAATAATTGGACTTCATTTATAGGACTATTATGAGGAATTAATGGCATATATAGGTTGAGCATCCCAATCCAAAAATCTGAAATGCTGTAAAATTCAAAACATTTTGAACACTGATATGACACACATAGACCTATATAAATCCTTAGAAGATTACTCATTTTATTAAATCTTTTACCCATATTATTGCAGATGCCAACCTCAAGCCAAAAGTAGAATGTAGTGTGGTGACAGAGTTCACTGACCACATTTGTGTGACTATGGATGCTGAGCTCATCATGTTTCTTCATGATTTAGTGTCAGCTTATCTTAAAGAAAAAGAAAAAGGTGGGTGGAATATTCTTTTCTATCAAGCTGCAGTAATGGCAGCTACCAATGCCATTTACATTGATTTTTACGGTCTAGTGAGAAAACAAGTGGAATATATATCTCCTCCTATGAACTGAAGATAGCAGTAAATAGCGTTAGTAAGACTATCACAGACTTTCTGAGTACTTGCTATATATACAGCACCAATGGTGTTTTATACTGTACAAAGTGTTTCTGTATACATTATCCTATGTACATTTTCAGTTAGACCTTATAGGAGATTCTTGAAAAATAGAAAAATGTGAGGAAATACTGCAAATCAAAGTGAAATGACTAAAGAAACAACTACATAATAAAGAAGCATGAGTTACTTACCTAATTGTGAAAACTGAATTAAGATGATAAATGTTTAGAATGCAGAGAAAATTTTCTTTTTAATAAATAAGTTATTTAGATCTCATTGGTGGTATTTTGTGTTCATGAGCTTGATAACATTGGTTTACTCACTCGTAACTTACATGTTTACCCATGAAGAAATGTATGGTGGGGGGTGGTGGCTCACATTTGTAATACCAGCACTTTGGGATGCTGAAGAGTTGAGCCCAGGGGTTTGAGACCAGCCTGGGAAACAAAGTGAGACCCCTAAAAAAATACAAAAGGTAGTCAAGTGTGGTGGCACATACCTGTAGCCCCCACCTGCTTGGGAGACTGTGAGGTGGGAAGATCACTTGAGCCTCGGAGGTCAAGACTACAGTGAGCCATGAGCCATAATCACACCACTGCACTCCAGCCTGGGTGACAGAATGAGATCCTGTACCAAAAAGAAAAAAAAAAACATGTATGACAACCCTAATATCTAGAATTAGCTAATATATTATAGTACTCTGTAACTGTTTAAAAGAATGAGATAGTTTGAAATATCATGATTTGGAATGCTTACAAAACATACGGCTATTTATTCATTCAATAAATATTTATTGCACCGTTATGAATATACAATGGTAAAATCACAGATGTTTCTTAATAAATAGCTTGGTATAAATGTAATTTGTTCAGGTCACACTATAATACTGTTTCATTTTCTTCATGTGGAAAAATATAAAATTTGTACTTTAAAAATAAAAGATTTATCAAAAGACTATGTTGAAAGAGTGCACAGGTAGCATAGCATAGACTGAAATGCTCTTTTATTAATAATTAATTGAGATGTGCCCAAAATTCAGTGAGACAGTAAAATCAATGATGTCTGGGAGAAATCTGTATGACCTCAGTAGAAACTTCAGGTAAAATGACAAACTGTATGATAGGCAATCTTATATATAAGTAGATAAAATCTTCACATACAGCCCCAACAGATACCAGTCACTGGTAATCCTTTTGTTTTTGTGCTTTAATATTTAAACTTAATGTGGAGAAAAACAGATTTAACATAAACCTGTAAAGTTCAGAATTATTTTCTAGTCTACCTGTATTTGAAAACCTGGCAAATTTGTTTCTCTCAGGTATGTTGTGAAACATTTGTCATTTTTTGAAGTACTGTGTTGGTCTTGGTCTGCCACAAGCTACACAAGCTATGTGTATTTCTAAAAAAACAACAGAAAGACTGTTTTAAATATAAACTGTTATAAAACATTTCAATGGGAAAAGGGGGTGGATTTACAATAAAGTATATCTGTGAGGATTTCAATTATAAATAAAATTATTACAAATAACAAGCAATTCATTTTAGCTAAAATACTCAAAACATACCTGAGAAAATTCTTAACAGCATGTCAGACTATACCAGAATCAACATTTTTAAAGAATATCAAAATAAATTGTAGCACTGTAACAACAGCACCAATAGTGAACAAAAACCCACCAACTGAGCAGGCCTTAACTGAAGAGGGCATCTGTGTTCTTACATAGTGGGTTACTACTGCTTTATTTTGAGGCTCATTCCCAGTCAAGTTATAACCAGAGCTATGTACCACGTATCATAGTACCTAATTAATTATTTTACGTCCAGTTTCTGTATTGAATCTAATACCCTAAGAGGAAAGCTGTATTCATCAAATAAGATCATGTGAAAGTATTAATGGCAAAAACTGCAAGTACTTTTGCACCACCCTAATACCTATGTCTCAGATTCCACTTTATATTTATTTATTATAGCCAATTAAAAGACTTCTCTTTATAAAGACTGAAAAGTCTGCCTACATAAAAATCTCTTTAGTACCACTCTTCAAATATATATACATCTATCCATAAACATACAAGAACAATTAAATTACACAGCTTAAATAAATAAATGGTATGGTGTGTGAATTGTATCTCAAAGCTATTTAAAAAAAAAACACCTATAGCCATCCTTTAGGAAGCCTACAACAATCAATTTCAGTGCCGTATGCTTGCTATATCAAATCAATGATCTCAGCATTTTTATCATTGATGTTGACATTATCTCCAAGAAATATCAATAATTGGTACTTATTTATGGCTTATTTAAAAATATTTTTAAGAAATGGAGTTAAATGAGTCCTTGACCAGGTCATAGATACAATGAGAAATGGAACCAATTCTTCTGTTCTTATGGTGATTTAAGATAAATGTATAATACTAATCTTTTCCTTATAGCCATTTTTCCACCTCGGATTTTATCTACCCGACCAGGACAGAAAAGTCCAATTATTATACATGATGACAATTCCTCTGATAAAGATAGAGAAGACAGCATCACTTATACTACTGTGGACTGGAGAGATTTTATGTGCAATACATGGCATCTAGAACCTACTCTTAGGTAAGTAATGTGTATATGCATTTTACCCATATGCTAAGGGATAACAATGAGAAAAAGTTATGAATAATGTAAGTTACATATGATTATCAAAAAATATATTCAGAAGTTAGTTTCTTGTAGCATCCATAGCTTGTGTGTGCTGTCTTTACTGCTTCTTTCTACTTTTGTGTCTCTAGGTAAGGCGAATGATGTACAAACACTGAGAGCAGCTCAGCACTGATAAGCTGTCCAATGGGTGACATTCTGTCAATCACTAAAATATGAGAATACTTATCCTTCCCCTGTTACCATTAGTTTTTCACCTTCTCACAAAGCTATTATTTTCAGGGTTTGAGGTAGCTACTGTACACTGTTTTGTTACATAGTATGGCAACATACAGAAGTCATGTTTCATCATTAAGGAGCTGTTTGTTTCTTGCTGGATATGTCATAACACTATAACAAAACCTGCAGTGTCATAGTACCCTTTTGTTTGCATACCAAGCAATATAAAACCATACCTAAAATCTCAAATTTAACAAACTATGAGAATAAGGTTCCCTTACTGAATCATATTCTACCACAGTTATTATCCCAATTAAATCACTATCCCAAAGTTTCAAAGGTATTTTTTAGTTTCAGTTATAATAATTTCTATAACTAGTGATACTTAATTTTTGTGTCCTTGTTTGTGATTAACACTAACAGCCTTCCTATTTTTCTCCTTTCCTCTCATCTGCTTTGTCAATCCTGTTGTAACTGTCTGAATCCTGAAATAACAGTTTAAAAAAAAAATCCATTACATCCCAGGTCAACATTCTGCAAGATGATACACATTTTATTTAGATAAGGTTATTGTTCAGACATATTTATGAATTCCAAAATAAAACCTCCATTATGCAGTGATAACTCTTCTATAGGCAGAAAGTAGTGACTTCGTGTGTTAGTAAGTAATAGATATACTGTAAAATTTCTTTTAACTAAATAAGCAAAACACTTTGGTCCTAATAGTACATATACCCATGAGAAATATTGTGTTAAAATACTGCAGAGGTCCTAATGTAGAAAACTGTTTATAAAATCTGTTTTGTATTTGCACATTTAAATAATATATTTAAATTTAATACAAAATGAATTTAGTTTCATGTAAGCATAAAAAGTTACCATATTCCTTTTTTTTTTTTTTTTTTCTAAGCAAACAAGAGTAACTAGAGTTAAGTAATGTGTAGTGGTAGACAGCATGGTTTAAGAGCTCTGGCTGTAAGCCCAGCTCCTTTGCACAGTAGCTGAATGAGCTAGGCCAAAAGACCTAACCACATTGTTCTCTCTGCCTCAGTTGACTCATGAAAAATTTGGAAAATGGTATTACCTACCTTGTAGGGTTGTTACACTGGTTAAATGAGTTAATAAATGCAAAATGCTTATAACTATTTGAGTTTGAAGAGATCAATGTCTAACCACCCCCAACTCCCACCCTTAAGTTCAGAACCAATTGAAATAGTGGGAGAGAAGCATCTGGAAATCAAAATGACAGTTTTAATATAGATAAAGCTGATAACAGAAAATGTGGTTTAGCTGTATGGCAACAATGGCTTTCTACAAAGTTCAGGTTTGGTCTTACCTGCAGGGCATAGATGCAGAACTTAACTGGCGGGAAGGGCAGAGTCGGGGGTTGTTGGAGTTGTACAATCAGCAGCTCTGTGTATGTGCTCAACCACAGACAGCATGGAATACTCTAAGGCTAAGCTGTTTAGGGGTTTGCTCTTGAAAAACCTATGGCATGAAGGAACAGATCAAAATGAAGGGCTCCCAAGAGGGAGGAGGGTACTAAACTATGTTACTCATTTCCTCTGTTAATTTTGCCAATTGGATAAATTGTCAATATAGGGGCAGAAGGTGGCCAATAGTGTTTAACTAATAGCTTTTCCTCCACATATAAGGAAATAGCCATAATAGGGAGAAAATGACTCTCCCTTCAAACACGTTTAACACATAGCACTCAGTAAATTTTAGCCTTTTTCTCCCATTATGCCATATGCTTATGAAATCTATTAAAATTAACCAGATGTTCTTTTATATGATTACGATAACTGTGTAAAAGGCCTAAAATATATCATTCAGGATGAAATACAGTAAACACTATTGCTGTGTTTAGGTTGTCAAAGATACTTATAATATATATGGTTTTTTAATGCCATTATTATGGTGAATCCAGGAATTATGGACTCAAATATACAAATGTACCTACTGAAAATATTTTGAGTATATTATAGAGGCTTAGTGGTGTTCTTTTCCTGCCATTAGAACTGTGCTCTAGGGCATTATATTCCTTAATAATAGCTAATAATAACTGTAATTTTTATTTTAGATTAATTTCTTGGACTGGAAGAAAGATTGATCCAGTAGGTGTTGATTATATTCTTCAGAAATTGGGCTTTCATCATGCTAGAACTACTATTCCTAAATGGCTTCAAAGAGGAGTCATGGATCCACTGGACAAGGTTCTGTCAGTTCTTATCAAAAAGCTCGGTACTGCACTACAGGATGAAAAGGAAAAGAAAGGAAAAGACAAAGAAGAACACTAAAAAGTAATTTGATCTGTGAACAAATTATGATTGTGTCCGTTAAGTTTTATTATACTGGAGTGTTTTTTTAGTATGATTTTAAATATAACTTTAAAATAATTCTAAATTTGTGGCCATTATAAGTTTGTAAGTTAATCTGTTTATTCTAGTTCCATCATTCTGTGTACAGTAAAGTATTGCATGATAATGTAAATTTTGTGAAAAACTAGATTAAAATATATAAATCTGCTTGTTAGGATTTATAATTACATAATGTGCAATATGATTCCTGCATCTTTAAAATGTTTGCAGAATAACTGTGAATTTTTTTGTTATTGGATTGGCCGTAACTTTTAGAAAAAAATCTTGTTAATAATGTGATTTTGCGGAGGTCATTATTTGCGTTTTTTTTTTTTTTAATGTAGACTTGTATAAATACCTGTATATAGTTTGAGTAATTGTGCTATGATTGTATACCACTAAAATACTGTTAACTATTGTAATAAAATCACAATAATGGTTTCAGTCTGTAGTAGTCTTTGAATATTTTTTCTACTTTTTATAATTAATAGATGCCCTTCCTGTGTCACAGCAGATCAGATACTTTCATAGATTATTTATACCTATATTACAGTTGGGCCATGAGTTCCACCTCTGTGGATTCAATTAACTGCAGATCAAAAATACTCAGGAAAAAAAAATTCCACCAAAGCAAAACTTACCAAGTACTACATTAAGTCCACATGAAAGAAGTGATGTGTAGGCATTGTCTTAGGTATTGTGAGTAATCTGCAGATGATTAGATTACTTGCCAGGAGAATGTGCATAGTTTATATGCAAATACTACACAATTTTATATTAAGGACTTGAGCATCTCCAGATGTCCTGGAGCCAATCCCCCATGAACACAGAAAGATGACTATGTTTATAAAAAATCAGCTCAAGAAGGATGCAATTAGGGACACGCACACAAGAGGCTTCAGAAATATTAGGTATTATTCCTTCTTATGCTTATGGTAAATTCACAGCAATTAATTTTTTATTATATTCCTTAAATGTTTGTATATATTATGTGTATGAAGTTATATATAATGATTATATATATTACATGTAATATATACATATATGTATAATGTACACATGTAAGTATAAAAATTTTAGCAAGATCTAAAATAATATTCAATGGTAGCTATAATGTTAATTGCCTCAAAATCTAGTCAAGTCAGAATGGCCAGTTTAAAGATAGGGTAAACAGTAGAATTGAAGAGCCAGAGTTAGAAAACACCTAAAGAAAGCCTCTGGTGCAGACTCTTGCAGTTAGGTACATAAGATAGTTTTATTTCTGACAGATTAAACAACAAAAAACTCTCAAAGAGCTGAGGTATGTAGCCAAGGGTATAGATCTAGTAAATGTCAATAGGGGAATTAAGATTTGCTGTCTAATGTCATACATCAACTTAATCACACAACGAAAACCCTAGTGTTAAAGTCCCAATTTTGCATTCTTTCTGCTAGGCCATCTTCACTGTCATCTGTCTGATCTCTGAATACCACCCCCACATCTCACTCCTACCATGGGTGCCTATAAAATAACAAGTATAAATTACCTTGTTTCTGGCACTTACTATGATAATGTTATAAAGAGCAAAAAGGCAAATTAAATCTGTAACTACTTAAAATTTCTATGACTCTGTTGGCCAAAGCTATGAGAAAACTAGCACTTTGTGTACTACTGATGAGAAAGTAAATTGGTACAAACCTCAGGAAGGACAATTATGTAACAGCTATCAAAATAACAAAGGCATATAATTTTTACTGGACATACAGTACTTCCATGTGTGTGAAGTAATTATACAAGTATGTATATTTGCAGTATTCCTTGTAATAAATGGTTGGAAACAATTCAAATGTTCATTAGTATAAGACAGGTTAATTAAAAGTGACGTCCATTCAGTGGAACAGTATGCAACTATGAAAAGGGGAAAAGATGCTAAGATTAATTCCTAAATAAAAAGATGTGGTCAGCCACTTAGATTACAAAGCTTCCAAGTGGTCTATTAACGTTATTTTTTGAGTATCGTGTAACTTCTATTCCAGTAAATCACATGGTGCATCCAGATAATTTGTAAAATTTCAATAACACGTTAAAAAATACAAAGGATTTTGCTCTGCTCTCCTATTTGTAAACATGGTACTTCTAGGTCTACGATTTGCAAACTGTCTATAGTGAAGAATGTTTTTTCCTAAAATCAAGTTCAATAAGATATAAATAATCTTGTAAAATATAGTAACTCAAAATGAAAAAAAATACCCCAAAATACACAAATAAAGCACAAATTTTTAATTACTGGGTTTAATTTATTAGATTCATATGTTCCATCAATTGCTATAAGAATTTCTAAACATGTACTCTCAATTTCTGTACTTGTCACGGAACAGTAACAATTTATGGGGTATCCTCAGTCCATGAACTACACTTTAAATAGAATTGCTTTAGCATGTTCTCCATTTTCACTATAGAGTGATACCTTTTAAATTTTAATAGAAGAACCTGATGACCTGTGTGGACTGGCTGTTTTCTATGCCAGTTGATAGTGCCATACCCAAAATGCTTGTGACTTCTGCACACAGAGCTAGATACTTGCAGATCTTTATGTGTCACTAGCACTTATTCTAAACAGTCAAGGAGGACCTCTATTTTTGTTTTTCATTTGAACTTCAGGCATAGAGTATATTTAGCCAAAATTGTCAGACAGATGGCTACATGAGCACTAAGCCACACTCAGTAAGTTTTGGTTTTGTGAGTTTTGTCTGCTTCACATGTTTAGGTCAAAGAGTCAAGCAATTCAAAGTCAGAAAAGGCTTTGCACTCAAATTCAAACAACTTGTTCAGCCAGTGATATGTAACAAAGCCTTAGGAAAACTCTCACAGAACTATCAGATGTTGGGAAGCATTTCTGGAATAATGAACTGTGAAAGCAACTAAAAAAGCAAATGCTTCCAGTTGTAACAGCAAGTAGATCTGGGTTGTTAGGTGTATACCTAGTGGTCTACATGAGGGGAGTGGTCTTAAGAGATAATAACAACAAAGTTGGGCTCTCAGAATGAATACAGTTTGGCTGGTCAGATTATTAAGTCAGGCACCAAGTGAAATGGTACAGGACAGACAAAAGTTGCTAAACTACTCCTCCCTGATAAACTCCTTCCCTCTGACCTTATGTTTCCATTTGGAGGGACTTCCACCAAAATAACAATGCAATTTTTCTCCCAATCCCTTACTCTTCCCCAAAAGTGACTTAATCTACTGATCTAAGAAAATGAGCTCCACCTCTTCCACTTTTCACCTTCTGAAACAAGCCTGCCTGCAAGGAGGCCCGCAAGGAGAATATAATTCTGATTTCTTGTATTGGTGTAAGGAGCAACAGGATTTCTCCTGCTTGCAGTGAAATTCATCTATTTAGAAAGCATCAGCAACCCCATTTGGCTACACTTCCGAGCCACATCTTCCAATTTGGATTCTTTAAGCAATAAAGGTTTTTTTGCATCCATTATCGCTGATATCTTAGTCTCTCAGTTTCAACCCATGGAAAAGAAGCAGATTAGATTATATTTATTGACCCCTTAAGCATCAAATATGAATTATACTAATACTGGTCCTCTTAATAGGTTTATTCATTGTTTAGCAGAATGAAAACTTAACCTTATGGTGAAAAAAAGCTGATGCCCATGGATTTTACTAGTTTTATCATTACCCAGATGGGGCTGGACTTATAGAATTACGTAATAGCCTACTGAAGACTCAGCAGTTCCTCAAACTGGGAAAGACATAGCTTGGATCCTGTTCTATAGGATGTAGATGTTCTCAACTAGTGATCAATATCTCATACTGTTTTTCCCATCAACAGAAAACATGGGTCCAGTAACTGCAGGTCAAAAAAAAAAAAAAACACTTCTCACTCTAATGAACTCCTTCAAAATGTATGCTTTCTGTCCAATAATGGAACACAACAATTGTCCCATTAAGTTAGAATCCAAGGTTGCCACCTAGTAATTTGTGTTACAGATGTCAACTAGTTAAACTGTTAACAAAATACTGGCTATGGTGACAGGTTTTAATCATCAGGGGAGAGAGGGTTAGTGCTATCAACACAGGCATGCAGGTTTGTGGACGCCTCCAAGGTGATCCCTGAAGAAATCTCTTCGTGCTCCTAAATTAGTGGCTGAGTACGTATGACAATGACAAGCATGATCAATAATGTTCAGATCTTTCAAAAACAGAGATTATGTTCAAAAATATTCTCCACAGGCCCATCACATGTCTGTCTTGTAAGTGACATACTCTGCCCTTTGTTGATATTTTTTTTGAGGACATTTGTATAGTGAACAATCTTAGAAAACAGAAATAGTATCTCCTCCCAAAGAAAAGGAAGATTTCCCTACATCCTTGAAAGATACAGTGTCTCTCCCTGTATTATAAAAGATTGGGGTTCCCTAAGTACAAAGTTCTCCTGTAATGCAATGCATTCTGTGTGGGGCATTCATCTGGGCCCATACATGTTGTCTCTATGTAATCTGATACAAGAGGAACCATATAAACATGTGGAGGGGTTTCATTCGTTTTATCATTACCCAGATACAGCTGGACTTACCTAAAGGTGTAATAGCCTACTGAAACTTCAGTGGTTCCTCAAACTGAGAAATATACGTCTCAGATCCTGCCCTACATGATGTAGTGGAGCAGGATCTGAGCTATATCATTGGATTATTAATTCTTCATCTCTGACACAGAGTCTCATGTCTTCTGCCAGCATCCATGAAACTAAGAAAAGACAAACATTAAAGCTTAAAAATGGAGTAAAAGCTCAAACTTTCACAATTCTTTTTTTCTTTTTAAATATATATATTTTTTATTGTACTTTAGGTTCTGGGGTACATATCATGCAGGACTGTTGCATAGGTACATATATGGTAAGGTGGTTTGCTGCCTCCATCCCCCGTCACCTATATCTGGCATTCTTCCCCATGTTATCCCTCCCCAATCTCCCCACTCCTCACTGTCCCTCTCCTATTTCCCCCCAACAGACCCCAGTGTGTGATGCTCCCCTCCCTGTGCCCATGTGTTCTCATTGTTCAACACCAGCCTATGAGTAAGAGCATGCAGTGTTTGATTTTCTCTTCTTGTGTCAGTTTGCTGAGAATGAGGGTTTCCAGATTCACCCATGTCCCTACAAAGGACATGAACTCATTGTTTTTTATGGCTGCATAGTATTCCATTGTGTATATATCCAGTTTATCCACATTTTCCCTGTCCAGTCTATCATTGATGGGTTATTTCACTGGATGTTTTAATCAACTGAGATACTGAGGGCAAATTAGTATGAAATGGGTAGTTCAAGACGTAAATCATAAATTCTAACAATTTCAAAGAAATGAGGGTTCTACCATCTGTTCAAATTTTCTTCAACTTTGGTCATAGAAGTTTTATTTGTTAAATTCTATATCAAACATTTAGCAATTATCTTTAAAATTTAAGTAGTACTTACTTATATGTGAAATAAGATACGAAGCATTTACTAACAGGTATTGCTACACTGTTTATAACTATCAGTACAGTCCTCCCAATGATGTACTGAAGTAGATAATATAGTTCTCATTTTGCAGATGAAGAAATTGAGACTCAGAGAGCCAGGCAATTTGGCCAACTTTAATTTTTTTCCAAGTCTTTGGAAGTAGCCTTCTCAGTCAGACTTTCCTTAAGTATCCTATCTAAAATGTCAGCCCTCTTCCTTTAAACATTATCTATACCCTGCTCTGCTTTATCATTTCTTTTTCAGCACCTTTCACTAACATACTGCATAATTTTACTTATTTTTTCATTGTCTGTATCTCACTAGAATGTAAGTTCCATGAAGAAAAAGGTCTTTTTTTCATTTTTTTCAGTATTGTATCCTTAGTGCCTAGAACATTGGCACATGGTAGATAATATATTTGCTGGATAAATTCATGAATAAATAAATGTAAAAACAGCTAATCCTGAATTAAAACACTACACTAATTTTAAAAACCCAATTTACTTAACTACTATCTAACATTGCCTCTCAAATATATTTCTCTTTTCCCACTTCTCAGATAAAATTATTTTTAATAAATGTGATACAGTATAGAAACAGAATTAAGGACAAAAAACATACGGTCATCTCAGCAGATGCAGAAAAAGCATTTGATAAAATTCAGCATCCCTTCATGCTAAAGAAACTAGGCATAGAAGGAAAATACCTTGAAATAATAAAGGATATAATATTATGAAAAGCCCACAGCCAACATCATGATGAATGGAGAAAAGTCAAAAACATTCCCTTTAAGAACTGGAGTAAGACAAAGATGACCATTCTCCCCACTCCTCTTTAATATAGTACTGGAAGTCCTAGCCAAAGCAATCAGGCAAGAGAAAGAAATAAATGGCATCCATACTGAAAAATTGGAGCCTGTGAACCGAGCTACTGTCCCTGTCCCCCAGAGAGAGAGGGAGCTCAAAGTGGAGAGACAGATGGTGCAGCTGAGCAGGCCCCTTCCCCCTCCCCCATGCCCAGAGAGAGAAGGAGCTTAAAGTGGAGAGACAACAGGTCCAGCTGGGTGGGTTCCTCCCCCGCTAAAGCCAGTGGGCTGAAGCACTAATGCTAGGGGGTTTCACAGCCAGTGCCACAGTCCAAGCTGAACCCTGAATGATCCAGCTCTGTGGAGGAAAGGGGCAACCCGCCATTAAAGAGGCAGACCTAGTCTTTGTGTGTTAACAAAAAACACAGGAAGCCTATGTAGCAACCTGCCGGAGTCCCTGGAAACCCAGCAGCACCTCAACAGGCAAACAAGTGACCTCATCAAGCAGCTCCCTGTGATCAAAGCTAGATAAATCCACTAAGATGGGAAGAACCAGCACAAAAAGGATGAAACCATCAATAACCAGAACACCTCTTCTCCTTCAAGGGATCACAACTCCTCACCAACATGGGAACAAAACACAATGGAGAACAAGTCTGACAAATTGACAGAAACAGGCTTCAGAACGTGGCTAATAACAAACTTCTCTGAGCTAAAGGAGCACGTTGTAACCCAATGCAAAGAAACTAAAAATCTTGAAAAAAGGTTAGAAGAAATACTAACTAGAATAAGCAGCTTAGAGAAGAACATGATGACTTGATGGAGCTGAAAAACACAGTAGAAGAACTACGCGAAGCAAACAAAAGTTTCAATAGCGGAATCAATCAAGCAGAAGAAAGGACATCAAAGATTGAAGATCAATTGAATGACATAAAAAGAGAAGGCAAGACAAGAGAAAAAAGAGTGAAAATAAATGAAAAAAGCCTCCAAGAAATATGGCCTTATGTGAAAAGACCTAATCTACACTGGATCAGTGTACCCAAATGTGATGGGAAGAATGAACCCAAGCTGGAAAACACTCTCCAGAATATTATCCAGGAGAACTTCCCCAGCCTAGCAAGGCAGGCCAACATTCAAATCCAAGAAATACAGAGTACTCCACTAAGATATTCCTCAAGAAGAGCAACCCCAAGTCACATAATCGTCAGATTCACCAGGGTTGAAATGAAGGAAAAAAAATGCTATGGGCAGCCAGAGAGAAAGGTCGGGTCACCCACAAAGATAAGCCCATCAGACTCACAGCAGATCTCTTGGCAGAAACCATACAAATTAGAATAGAGTGGTGGGTGGTCAATATTCAATATCCTTAAAGAAAAGAACTTTCAACCCAGAATTTCATATCCAGCCAAACTAAGCTTCATAAGTGAAGGAGAAATAAAATCCTTTATAGATAAGCAATTACTGAGATTTAATCACCTCCAGATCTGCTTACAAGAGCTCCTGAAAGAAACACTAAACACGGAAAGGAACAACAAATACCAGCCACAGCAAAAGCATACCAAATGACAAAGACCAGTAATGCAATGAAGAAACTCAGTCAACTAACAGGCAAAAAAAAAAAAAAAAAATACAGCCAGTAACAAAATGGCAGGATCAAATTCACACATAACACTATTAACACTGAATGTAAATGACATAAGTGTCCCAATCAAAAGACACGGACTAGCAAACTGGATAAAAAGTTAAGACCCATACATGTGCTGGATTCAGGAAACCCATCTCACATGCAAAGACACACATAGACTCAAAATAAAGGGATGGAAGAAGATTCACCAAGCAAATGGAGAACAAAAAAAAGCAGGGATTTTAATCCTAGTCTGATAAAATGGACTTCAAACCAATAGAGATCAAAAGAGACAAAGAAGGGAACTACATAATGGTAAAAGGATCATCCAACAAGAAGAGCTAACTATCCTGATATATAAGAACCCAACACAGGCACACCCAGATAAATAAAGCAAGTTCTTAACATCCTAAAAGGAGATTTAGACTCCCACACAATAATAGTGGGAGACTTCAACACTCCACTGTCAATATGAGACAGATCAATGAGACAGAAAATTAACAAGGACATCCAGGACTTGAACACAGAGCTGGACCAAGTGAACCTAATAGATATCTACAGAACAGTCCACCCAAATCCACAGAATATACATTTTTCTCAGCACCACATCATGCTTACATTAAAATTGACCACATAATTGGAAGTAAATCACTCCTCAGCAAATGCAAAAGAACAGAAATCATAATGAACAGTCTCTCAGACCACAGCTTAATCAAATTAGAACTCAGGATTATGAAACTCACTCAAATCCACACAACTACTCAGAAACCGAACAACTTGCTCTGAGTGTTGACTGGATAAAAATGAAAGGAAGGCAGAAATAAAGATGTTCTTAGAAACCAACGAGAATGAAGACGCAACATATCAGAATCTCTGGGACACATTTAAAGCAGTGTCTAGAGGAAAATTTATAGTTATAAATGCCCACATGAGAAACAAGAAAAAGATCTAAAACTGACACCCTATCATAAAAATTGAAAGAGCTAGCAGAGCAAGATTAAGAAAACTCAAATAAAACCTAACACCACAAAAACACTAGAAGAAAACCTAGGCAAAACCATGCAGGACATAGGCATAGGTAACAACTTCATGACTAAAACACCAGAAGCAATGGCAACAAAAGCCAAGATAGACAAGTGGGATCAATTAAACTTCAGAACTTCTGTACAGCAAAAGAAACAATCATTAGAGTGAACTAGCAACCAACAGATTGGGAAAAAATTTCTGCAATCTACCCATATGAAAAAGGGCTAATATCTAGAATCTACAAAGAACTAAAACAGATATACAAGAAAAAAGCAAACAAACCCATTCAAAAAGTGGGTGAAGGGTATGAACAGACATTTCTCAAAAGAAGACAAATATGAGGCCAACAAACATGAAAAAATGCTCATCATCACTGGTCATTAGAGAAATGCAAATCAAAACCACATTGAGATAACATCTCACCCCAGTTAGAATGGCGATCACGAAAAAATCTGGAGACAACAGATGCTGGAGAGAATGTGGAGAAATAGGAATACTTTTGCACTGTTGGTGGGAGTATAATTAGTTCAACCATTCTGGAAGACAGTGTGGGAATTCCTCAAGTATCTAGAAATAGAAATTCCATTTGACTCAGCAATCCCATTACTGGGTATATACCCAAAGGATTATAAATTGTTCTATTATAAAGACACATGCACACGTATGTTCATCAAGGCACTGTATACAATAGCAAAGACCTGGAACCAACCCAATGTCCATCAACAATAGACTGCATAAAGAAAATGTGGCACATATACACCATGGAATACTACACAGCCATAAAAAATGATGAG